CAAAAAAAGCATAAGAAAGATTAGTAAATCCAACTTGAACAAGCTAGTCTCAAGTTACCTCCTTGATTGTGTACCTTTTTCATTGCATTTACGTCTGCAAGCATATGGGAAGAAGTGAGAGACGTCTGTTTACTCGGATCTCACAACATGTCCCAATAACTTTAATTTCGGATAGCCCGATGATTTTCNATGATTTTCTCACAACTTTATTTCCCACCATATACTGAATTTCAAAATTCGCATCAACCCGAAACAAGCATTCCGAGTGGGAATCTTACAGAAGACGATGGTTACGGATTGCTGAATTGGTAGGCATTCGCCGCCACAAACCAAAATTCTGCCAACAGCTGTACCTGCCCCCCCTCCCTAACCACTCTGGAACGTTACATCCGCGAGCGTTGGTTGAAGTTACGACGGATTCCCTTGAAGTTGAATTTGTGACTAACTTTGCGCCGCAATGGTGGGGCTGACACTGTGGTTCCGAGCCATAAGCATGTTCTCCCACCCCAACCGGAGTGTAACTGTTGACCTTTGACCTTCACGTTGACTTTGCCTGGTCAAGTGTTGTTCTTACACGTACGAAATTCCTAAAAAGAACTGGATGTGTAAAAACGGTGGGTTTTCGAATGTAATCCATGGATGAAACCTTGACTGACAATTCATATCTAAAGTGTATTGTAACGTGTGTTTCTGTGTGATATACCTTCAGGAAAACACGTGACCTTTACACTGCCAGTTTACTCTCATAAGCCGAAATATTTCCCAACTTATATATATATATATATATATATATATATATGAGACCCAACTAGGGTTAAACAGCTGTCCAGTGCTTCCTAGCATTTCAGTTCACGCTTCGTTTGCTTTTAATACACAACGAATACACCTTTGAAGTATAGAGGGTTCATTGATCGATTCCTTGCATATGTAAGCATAAAATCACGGAATAACCAATGTTTCGGCACTCGATTATTTTTATTCTTCAAAAAATACTTTTCTGCTCGTTTGTTTTGCTTCTAGTGGGTGACAAAAATTAAGGCGCAATGATGGATAAGTTATATACGTAATGGACAAACGATGTTAGGGCAAAAGTGAGTAACTGAATTTTTTTCGTGCGATCTGAGACCAGTGTATAACAATTTTAACTTACCGGTTCTTCTTTTTACTTGATTTGCTGTTTTGGGTAAAAACAACAACATAGGGAGTAGGTGGGTCAAAACCTCGAGATCAAGCCTCAAAAATGTCTAAATAGTCATAGTTCTATCGATATTCTCAATCACTGGACTGTTTTGCCTATTTCTCCTGTCAAAATTAACTGGTATGAGAAGAATGATTCACGGATCGCCCCTTTTCCGGAGCCATATCGCTCATTTCGATAGACCTACTTCCGTCAAGCTCCCCAGCCCATCGGTTTCCCTTCTAGAGTTCCGAATGCGGCCAACAAAGCTTGGTATTGTGGTAGAGAGTATGACTTCAGGATCATTCATGTGACACTTTGGTCGATGAATTTAGCGTGGTGTTGTGTCGTGTTTGCCCAAGCAAATAAGCACGCAGTCAATTATGTAGTACATTTGCTGTAGAAGACACACATGTAGCCTATCCATAGATCGGGGAGCAAGCAGAAGAGAGGCAACACGTAGACAGAGAGGTAGGCAGACAGGCCGACAAGCGGTTCACGACATCCCACGACATCCGAATGTCAAACCGGCATTCAACCAGTCAATGAATCACTTAGGGGACAGTTGAACACTAACACCTGGCTGGCTGGAGTCGATCGATATTGTAGTCAGTCTGCATGTCGTGAGTGCGTGTGTGTGTGCTGACTGACAGTGTCAGTCACTCAACCGATCAATCATTCAATGCAGCCACAGGCAAGCACGACAAACGTTACGGGATATGGTTAAAATACCGTGCATTGCGTTAACTGTGCGCTATCGCGGAGCGCATATTCTGGTACAAAGGAAATCACGCTTAAATTTTGAAATTCAGCAGTCCCCCCCCATCTTTCATCAGCCAACCATCGTATTCTGTCACGATTCGATAAAAATCACGCCAAAACGGAACAATAAATAGTTCTCTCAGCTCGTCGAAAAGCTTTAACATAAATGATTGATGGTGCCTGTATTAGAAACAATCAACATCGTTCCGTGGTGAAAATCCGTCAATATTGAATGGTGAACGATGCTGAATCGTGTCCCTCATCATGCCACACGCACTGTACATGAACGCAACGCAAACACACATACAAACATCGATGTAAAACGGCTGCTGTTAAACGTACCCATGAACCGTATAAGCGGATATTGGGCTTCGGAATGGACCAAGAACTTGTGGTCGAACGCATCTTTGTCGTGCAATGATTTCTTGCGTCGGATTTCGTCCATCGCCGCTTCGGTGTAGATCAGATTAAGCATTAATATTGTTTGACCTTCAGACTCCGATTCGCTTGAGCAGTCCACATTTTGCCAGCTTCTGACGCTAGTGAAAATATCGTCTAGAAGATATCTCTGGATGTGAAAACCGGAAGGAAACTTGTTTGAGTTCGCACACCCATCCACACACTCCCAAAATGACATTAGTTGGGTGAATAAACCAACAGAAACGAAGTTCATACGAGTCAGCCATATGGGGCAAACAAGATGAGAAAAAAGGACACCTCGGTCGGTTCGGAAAGCATAACTCTTTCAGGCCGTCTGCCAATCGATAATGAAATCATTCCCCTTAGGAAGGTGTGCTGTCACAGGCGTGACACTTCAGTCGTGCTGGAACAGTTTAACACTGACGAGGAAACCGATTTCACTATCCCGTCAGGATAAGTGAACAAATGTCTGTACACAACTGTATTGTGCATTGTTTTGTTGGCCAGTGTCCCACATTATCACTCTACTCCTCCTTCCCCGACACAGATCAATTCTCAAATCAGTGTACGTACTCTAAACCACATTGCAGATGTTGCGAGTTGGACACTGATTGGTGAAGTTTGGTTTGCTGTGTTTTTCCGTGCAGTGATCTCCTCGCTCTGACCGTGGCCGAGGCTGATCGGGACGACAAAATGACGATTCTGTTGGCCATCATCAACATCGTCATCATCATCATTATCATGATGATGACGATGATGAATAGGTGTGTCCAAACAGTTTGTATGGGATATTTTGCTCGAAACATGTAGCAAACAAACAGCTTCAATGTTTCTGCTTCATGATCACTATTCAAGTGAACAGCTCTAGACAGCGCGATTTTCTGATAAACGAGAATAATAATTTTCCCCAGGCTGGTATATGAATTCTTGTCAACGAGCGTGCAGAACACTTTAACAGGGCCAGTAAAAATCTCGAAAGGATCGGTTCCGCGAATGTTTTAGCTAGGGCGTTTTACCTTCTTCCTTATTTTTGTCACGTTTTCCCGCTCCTGAGATCTGAACGCTTGACCTTGCGATGGCCATGCAACTTTGTTCTCTGAAGGAAGCTTCACTTCACTCTGTGATCGGTAACATGCAATACAATGACGCCATTTGTTGCGCCTGTAAAGGGACTTATTCTACGCGATTGATCAGCCAATGAAGTAAGGCCTCACATTGTACGGGTGCGTTTTCGTAAGTGGTAATAATCAACACGAAGGGGTGGGGCGAGTATGTGACAAAACAAACGACATAGGTAAAACCACCATTAAACAATACTCTGGTTCGCTCAAAGTGATGGACAGAAAACCACAACAGATCTCCATCTATGTACTTACTTCAATTATTTCACAACTGACAGATCCACGTTGGTCTGTCAGTACCAGTGAATAATTTACGGTTGGTTGGGCTTCTGAAAAATAGTGTGTTTCGTTTAGGGTAAATAAGCCAGTATTATTGGTGACATTATTATTCCTGTTCCAAAAGAGAAATTGTCATCATTTACTTGAATGATAATAGCTATTCCAAGAATGGATGAAAGATTTCACAGTATTCAGTGATAGGTGTATTGTTGTTGTTGTTGTTGTTGTTGTTGTTGTTGCTGCTGCTGCTGCTGCTGCTGTTGTTGTTGTTGTTGTTGTTGTTGTTGTTGTTGTTGTTGTTAGATTAAACATCACGACTCTGTTTACAAGACAACTCAAACTGGTAAAACATACTTGGAGTTTTATCTGTGGGTAGTGCAAATATGGGAGAGAAAAATGAAAAGAACAGGTCTCTGTTTCAGCTTGTCTGTGTGAAGTGGAGGAGGTGGATGGGTGGATGGGAATAAATGAAATCTCAAGGGGTGAAACTCGAACTCAAGCGATTCAATGCACAAAAAACATTTAGGTCAGTGATTTCTCATGAACCGGAGAGTGAGCCTCCTTGATTTATGCTTCGTGTGCGCAAACATTGACTGTTGACCATGTGGCCGAGGAAGATTTGAGTTTGGAACTCATAACTCGAGTTTTCTCTGTCGCGTGTCTCCTATCGGGAGAAAGAGGCACAGCATTAGTATGCACTAGGGATTATTAGTCACCAAGACGAAACTACCTCCCAGTGTTGTCTGCTGGATTTTCTGCAACATTTCCTGTCCGTAGAACGACGAAAAGATATCTAAAATTCCCAGCAACCAGTCTTCAGAGCAGCAACCTCTGCAATCTGTAGTACGGTACACGATTTACGCGAACATAAACAGTGTCACTGTAATGATTATAGTAGTAGTAGTAGTATTACGCACGGAATTCGGAACAAGAACCACGCAATAAGAATCACAGAACACAAATCAAAGATCAGCTATCACTGACTGGACTGAGGAAGCACTGGACCGCAATGGTACGAGCTCGCAATATCCCACGTGGACGAGACACGAGGAAAAGGCCACAAAATTGGCAACTCGCAATTCTTTTATCGGGAGAAATGAAAGCAATGAAATAATATATACAAAAGAAGATCATTAGTTAGCTAGGCTTCCACCAATCATATTGCAGTATTACTTGCATGATTCTGCCTCTGTCTGCACTGTATCGGATTGGCTGACACGACGCACTCATGGTGTTTGGTCAGATGCCGTACGCGTGTCATTGACGTCACCTTTCAAATTTGATTGATCGCATGCGTCCGAAAACGCCGCTCCAGGGTAGGCGTGATCTTGTAGGCCCGAATCACCACAATCACTCACTTAAACATCGCTGCCGATGGCCTCCAAACAACGGTCGCGCTCAATCAAAGGAAGTTTAGCCAAAAGAGCAGTATAAAAGTTAACCAGAGGGTTTGTAAAAGAATGCGAAATTTCCCGGGTTCGAGCAAAACATGAACCGTCAGTACACTCACCTTCATTGAGCAGATATAAATAATGGGGTTTCTGTTCCGCATTCTCATCGTCGTCTGATGCACAAGTAACTAAACCTTCATAAGGCATTTGCGACCAGTCTAATTCCTGTGGAAAATCCAAGAGAAGACAAACGAAATTTCACCATATATCATCACGAGCATTGACGCTACAAATTCCCCCGTCGGCGAACAAACCGAACCCCATCTTTTGTGGGTGGTTCGCAGGGATAGGGCAATCATTTAGTGGAAAAACCATGTTGTTGTCAGAAATTAAACGAGATGGAGAGAGAGATTGGGTGAGTAAGTGAATGAATGAATGAATACAAAATAATCCGTATTACCCTGTTTGTCAATTGTCTGTCCGCCCATAAGATAATATCTTCACTCGAATAGAAATTGATGTAGTACCAACTCAACAAACGTGTGATATCAGTGATAGGACAATTGACGGACACCCGTTTCTTGTCCGATATTGTAATTACTTTCGGCTCCTCCGAGAAGGGTTCTGTATTAGGGAAAACGAACGAAAGCGGGTAATTGGAATAGAATAAATTTGATTCAGAAGTAGGTTTCATACAGTGGAAGTAGGCGCATTGATAACATCGGTAGTTTCAGGCAAATCTCAGGCAGCTTCTTCGTCTTTTTATCGTGTGACAGTGAAGCAAACATATCTGTCTGTATGCGTTACGTAATACTGGTTCATTTTCAACCATAACCGTATTAACTGTGTAGTTGTGATTCAAAACTGTTTCTTTTGTGATCCGGTTTAAATGCGATTTACCCGGGCCTGATGCCTGCATGTAAAAAAGGGTGCAACCCGGCGATGTGAGGAGAGGTGAACTGACAACGGGCCCTGCGGTGATCCTAGCCTACGAGATGACGCAAACCACTGAGAGACACGTTACAGTTTTCAGATCAATCAAGCTTATCAGGTGATGTCAGCAAGGCACCTACACTTTACAGCTGTCAGACTACAAAACAGGCCAATTGTACCAACCAATCAGAAGGTGCGCGGCCGAGACAGAAGCTGAACAATGCAAGAAATACTAGCACGCGATCGCAGGGGCGTGGATGATCAATGAAATTATTTTTGACATATTATTTAAATCCCATGATTTGTTTCAATAAAGAAACTGCTACTCTTGTGGCCT